CCCCCAACTTTCCCGCCATTTTTCCCCAATTTCGCTCCCATTTTTCCCCCCAATTTTCCCCCCATTTTCCCTCCAATTTTCCTGTTATTTCCCCCAATTTTCCCCCAATTCTCCTGACATTTCCCCCAACTTTCCTGCCATTTTCCCCATTTTCCCCCAAATTTTCCCCAATTTTTCCCCAATTTCCCCCAATTCCCTCCCCATTCCCCCCATTTCCCCAATCTCTCCAATTTCCCCCAATTTTTCCCCCAATTTCCTTAATTTCCCCAATTCCCCCACCCATTTTTTCCCCATTTTACCCCATTTTTCCAATTTTCCCCACATTTTTTCCCCATTTCCCCCAATTTTTCCCCCAATTTCCCCAATTTTTTCCCCATTTTCCCCCATTTTTTCCCCATTTTACCCCATTTTTCCAATTTTCCCCACATTTTTTCCCCATTTCCCCCAATCCCCCAACTTTCCCGCCATTTTTCCCCAATTTCGCTCCCATTTTTCCCCCCAATTTTCCCCCCATTTTCCCTCCAATTTTCCTGTTATTTCCCCCAATTTTCCCCCAATTCTCCTGACATTTCCCCCAACTTTCCTGCCATTTTCCCCATTTTCCCCCAAATTTTCCCCAATTTTTCCCCAATTTCCCCCAATTCCCTCCCAATTCCCCCAATTTCCCCAATTTCCCCTATTTTTCCCCCAATTCCCTCCCCTTTTCCCCCAAATTTTCCCCCATTTTCCCCCCAATTTCCCCCAATTCCCTCCCCTTTTCCCCCAAATTTTCCCCCATTTTCCCCCCAATTTCCCCCAATTCCCTCCCCTTTTCCCCCAAATTTTCCCCCATTTTCCCCCCAATTTCCCCCAATTCCCTCCCCTTTTCCCCCAAATTTTCCCCCATTTTCCCCCCAATTTCCCCCAATTCCCTCCCCTTTTCCCCCAAATTTTCCCCCATTTTCCCCCCAATTTCCCCCAATTCCCTCCCCTTTTCCCCCAAATTTTCCCCCATTTTCCCCCCAATTTCCCCCAATTCCCTCCCCTTTTCCCCCAAATTTTCCCCCATTTTCCCCCCAATTTCCCCCAATTCCCTCCCCTTTTCCCCCAAATTTTCCCCCATTTTCCCCCCAATTTCCCCCAATTCCCTCCCCTTTTCCCCCAAATTTTCCCCAATTTTTTCCCAACTTTCCTGCCATTTTTCCCCGTTTTTCCCCCAATTCCCTCCCATTTTCCCCCAAATTTTCCCCCATTTTTCCCCAATTTCCCCAATTTTTTCCCCAATTTCCCCAATTTTTCCCCCAATTCCCCCACTTTCCCCCAGGATCGACTCGAGCGTGGAGGACGCGCAGCTGAACGTGGAGGCGGCTCACGGCGAGATCCTCAAGTATTTCCACTCGGTCACGTCCAACCGCTGGCTCATGGGCAAGATCTTCCTCATCCTCATCGTCTTCTTCATCGTCTTCGTCGTCTTCCTGGCCTGAGCCCCAAAAGGCGCTGGGACCCGGCCCCGCGCGCGGGGCTCGCACACGGACTCGGGGTGGGGACCCCAAACCCCCAAAATACTTCAAAATCCCCCCAAAAAAACCCAAATCCCCAAAAAACCCAAATCCCCCCAAAACCAGCTCAAAAAACCCAAAATCCCCCCCAAAAAACCAAAATCTCCCCAAAAAACCCAAATCCCCTCAAAAATCCCCTCCAAAACCCCAAAAAACACTGCAAAATTCCTCCAAAAAACCCCCAAAACACCTCAAAATCCCCCCAAAACCCCAAAAATCCTCCAAAAAACCCCAAAATCCTCTCAAAAATCCCAAAATCCCCCCCAAAACGCCTCAAAATCCCCCCAAATTCTCCCAAAATCTCTCCAAAAATCCCAAAATCCCCCCCAAAACGCCTCAAAATCCCCCCAAATTCTCCCAAAATCTCTCCAAAAATCCCAAAATCCCCCCCAAAACGCCTCAAAATCCCCCCAAATTCTCCCAAAATCTCTCCAAAAATCCCAAAATCCCCCCCAAAACGCCTCAAAATCCCCCCAAATTCTCCCAAAATCTCTCCAAAAATCCCAAAATCCCCCCCAAAACGCCTCAAAATCCCCCCAAATTCTCCCAAAATCTCTCCAAAAATCCCAAAATCCCCCCCAAAACGCCTCAAAATCCCCCCAAATTCTCCCAAAATCTCTCCAAAAACCCAAAAATCCCCCTGTTACCCCCCCCCTTTCCCCCTCCCGGGGGTCTCCAGGATCCCTGGTGGGGGTTGGGAATCCTGGGACCCCTCCCCATGGACCACGGGACCCCCAAAAAGGGGCTGGGGACCCCCCAAGGAGAGCCTGGGACCCCCAAAAAGGGGCTGGGGACCCCCCAGGAGAGCCTGGGACCCCCAAAAAGGGGCTGGGGGGACCCTCTGGGGGGGCTCTGGGCCCCCCCCCCCGGGGATGGAGACGCCGACTGAAGCTGTGAGACCCCCGGGGTTGGGGGGCTCTGACCCCCGGGACCCTTGGGGGGGGTCCGGGACCCCCTGGAGACCCCGGGACCCCCAAAAAGGGGGGGGTGGAGCTTGTTAATAATGGGGGTGGGCTGGGGGACCCCCCCCCTCAGGCCTGGGGACCCCCGGGGGGGCTGCAGGACCCCCGTGGGAGCAGGACCCCCCCCGGTAAAGCCTTGGGACGGCCGGGGAGGGGTCTGGGGGCTGCCCCGGACCCCCGGCAGCCTTTTGGGGGGGCTGCAGCCCCCCCCGAGCCCCCCAAATAAACCCTGGGCCCCCGAGCCCCGCTTTGTGTTTTCATTCCTCCCCCGCCGGGATTCGAACCCGCGACCTCCGGAGAAATGGCAATGGGGGGGGGCGGTTGTGGCGACTGCGCGTGCGCGCGTGCCCCGGCGGGCGGAAGTGACGTCAGGGAGACGCGCGGCGGGGAGGCCGCGGCGGCGGCGGCGATGGCGGAGGAGGGGAAGGGGGGCGGGTACAGCGGTGAGCCCGGCGGGGGCCCCGGGGGCTCGGCGGGCACCGGGGGCACGCGGGGGGCACGNGACACGGGAACGGGGAGCGGCACCGGGAGGGCAGAGAGCGCGGGGAGGGGGTCACCGCGTACCGGGGGGAGCGGGAGCGGGAGCCCGGGCCGGTAGCGGTGCCCGGTGCGAGGCTCTGGAGCGGGACCGGGCCGCTCCCGGGGCTCCCGGGGAGGGGGCCGGGACGGGGGAGCTGCAGCGGGGGAGATCCCGCTCCCGGGGCCGCTCCCGGTGTCCCGGAGGGCTCGGGGTGCGGGGATGGAGCCGCGGAGGGCGAGCCGGGGGAGGCGGCGCCGGTCCGGGTGCCATCCCCGAGTCCCGGTGCCGGTCCCGGACACCGGGGGGGTTTGGGGTTACCGGGGGTTACTGGGGGGGGTTACCGGGGCTGCCGGTGGTCCCGTTCCCGGTGCCGTTCCCATCCCCATCCTCGTCCCCATTCCCGGTGCCCTCTCGGTGCCATTCCCGGGTCCGGGTCCATCCCGGTGCCGTCCTAGTCCCCATTCCTGTTCCCGTCCCGTTCCCGGTGTCGTTCCCCGTTGCCATCCCCATTCCCGGTGCCATCCCGGTTCCCGTTCCCATCCCCGTTCTCGTTCCCATTCCTCGTTCCCCGTTTCCCATCCCGGTTCCTGGTTCCATCCTGTCCTGTTCCTGGTGCCGTTCCCCATTCCCATTCCCGTTCCCGGTGCCATCCCGGTGTCCCGCAGAGCAGGATGACCGCGTAGGCGGCCGGGCGTTCCCGGTTCCCATTCCCGGTTCCCATTCCTGTTCCCATTCCCGGTTCCCATTCCCGTTCCCATTCCCGTTCCCGTTCCCGTTCCTGTTCCCATTCCTGTTCCCATTCCCATCCCCGTTCCCATTCCCGTTCCCATTCCCGTTCCCATTCCCGTTCCCATTCCCATTCCCGGTTCCCATTCCCAGTTCCCATTCCCATTCCCGTTTCCCCGTCAGAGCACGATGACCGCGTGGGCGGCCGGGCGTTCCCGGTTCGGCGGCGGAAGGGCCGGGGCCCGTTCCGGGGCAAGATGTACAGCGAGGGCACCCCCCGGGGCCGGCCCCGCCGCGCCCGGCCCGACGACGACGACGGCGACGTGCCCATGGCCGAGGCGCACGACGGGCCCCGCGGGCGCTAGTGAGTGACACCGGGGGGACACCGGGGGGTCCCGGGGGGTTTCCGGTGGATCCTGGTGTTCCTGGGGGGGGTCCCGGATGGTTCCCGGTGCCGTTCCCGGTCGTTCCTGGTTGTTGCCATCGTTCCTGTCCTTCACGGTGTTGTGGTTCTCGTTCCTTGGGGGTTGTTGCCGGTGATACCGGGGCGTTCCCGGTGCCATTCTCGTCATTCCCGGTGTCGTTCCTGACCGCTCCCGGTTATTCCCGGTGCCATTCCCATTATTCCCGTTGCCATTCCTGGTGCTGTTCCCGGTTATTCCTGGTCATTCCTGCTGCCGTTCCTGGTTATTCTCATCACTCCCGGTTATTTCCGGTTATTCCCGGTGTCATTCCTGGTTTCATTCCCGGTTATTCCCATCATTCACGGTGCCATCCCTGGTGCCTTTCCCGCTCCCATTCCTGGTTATTCCCAGTTATTCTCACTGCCATTCCCGGTTATTCTCATCACTGCCGGTGACTCCCGGTCCCATTCCTGGTTTCATTCCCGATTTTTCCTGGTTATTCCTGCTGCCGTTCCCGGTGCCGTTCCTGTCTATTCCGGGTGCCGTTCCCGGTGCCATTCCTGCCATTCCCGGTGCCAGTTTCGGTTATTCCTGGTTATTCTCATCACTCCCAGTTATTCCCGGTCCCATTCCTGGTTTCATTCCTGACCCTTCCCGGTGATTCCCGGTGCCGTTCCCGGTGATTCCCCTCGTTCCCGGTTCTGTTCCCAGTGCTATTCCCGGTTTCATTCCTGACTATTCCCGGTTATTCCCATCATTCCCGGTTATTCCCACTGCCATTCCTGGTTATTCCCATCATTCCTGGTGCCATTCCCGGTGATTCCCGTCGTTCCCGGTGCCATTCCCGGTGATTCCCGGTGCCATTCCCGGTGATTCCCGGTGCCATTCCCGGTGATTCCCGTCGTTCCCGGTGCCGTTCCCGGTGCCATTCCCGGTGATTCCCGGTGCCATTCCCGGTGATTCCCCTTGTTCCCGGTGCCATTCCCGGTGATTCCCGGTGCCATTCCCGGTGATTCCCCTCGTTCCCGGTGCCATTCCCGGTTATTCCCGTCGTTCCCGCTGCCATTCCCAGTGATTCCCGTCGTTCCCGGTGCCATTCCCGGTTATTCCCATCATTCCCGGTGCCATTCCCGGTGATTCCCCTCGTTCCCGGTGCCATTCCCGGTTATTCCCATCATTCCCGCTGCCGTCCCCGGTGATTCCCCTCGTTCCCGGTGCCGTCCCCGGTGCCATCCCCGCGTTGCCGTTGCAGCGTGCCGTACGCGCCGCGCTCGGGCCGCCTGGCCAACATCAACATCACGGTGAAGCGGGAGCCCGGGGAGCGCGGCGGCGGCGCCGGCCGCGACGGCGGCAGGAGGAGCTGGTTCAAAATCACGGTGGGGACACCGGGGGGACAGGGGGGGACACGGGGAAACATGGGGACAGATTTTTGGGGTGATTTTTTTGGTGATTCTGGGGTGATTTTTGAGGTGATTTTTGGGGGATTCTGGGGTGATTTTCGGGGTGATTCTAGAGAGAGTTTGGGGTGATTCTTTGGGTGATTTTTGGGGTGATTCTGGGTGATTTTTGGGTTGATTTTTTTTGGTGATTCTGGTGTGATTTTTGGGGTGATTTGGGGGTGATTTTTGGGGGATTCTGGTGTGATTTTCGGGGTGATTCTAGAGAGAGTTTGGGGTGATTTTTTGGGTGATTTTTGGTGATTTTTGGGGGAGTCTGGGGTGATTTTCGGGGTGATTCTAGAGAGAGTTTGGGGTGATTTTTTGGGTGATTTTTGGAATGATTTTTGGGGTGATTTTGGGGTGATTGTGGTGTGATTTTGGGGGCATTCTGGGGTGATTCCGGGGGGCTTTGGGACCCCTCCCCACCCCAAACCCCCCCTGCCCCCGGCAGTTCCACTACGACCACAACCGCGCCCAGTTCTACGTGGAGGACGCGACCACGGCGAGCGCGCTGAAGCAGGTGTCGCGGAAAATCACCGACAGGGACAACTACAAGGTGGGCTTGGGGGGTCTGGGGGGTGGGATTTGTGGGGTTTGTGGGGTTTGTGGGGTCTGTGGGGTCTGTGGGGTGGGATTTATGGGGTCTGTGGGGTGGGATTAGGGGATTTATGAGGTCTGGGGGTGTCTGTGGGGTGGGATTTAGGGGATTTAGGGGATCTGTGGGATGGGATTTAGGGGGTTTGTGGGATTTATGGGATGGGATTAGGGGATTTATGGGGTTTGTGAGGTGGGATTTATGGGATTTATGGGGTCTGTGGGAGTTACGGGATGAGATTTATGGGATTTGGGGGGGATCTGGGGGGCTGGGGGGGGATTTAGGGTGGTTTCGGGTATTTTGTGGCACTTTGGGTGGTTTTGGGGCACTTTGGGTGGTTTTGGGACACTTTAGAAGCACTTTTGGGGCACTTTTGGGGCAGTTTGGTGTGATTTTGGGGCAGTTTGTGAGGGTTTTTTGGCAGTTTGTGATCCAGGGGCAATTTTGGGGCAGTTTTGGGGTGATTTTGGGGTATTTTGTGTCACTCTGGGTGGTTTTGGGGCAGTTTTAGGGTGATTTTGGGGCACTTCTGGGGTATTTTGTGTCACTCTGGGTGATTTTGGGGCAGTTTTGGGGTGATTTTGGGTGGTTTTGGTGTGATTTTGGGGCACTTCAGGTGGTTTTGGGGTGAATTTGGGGCCCTTTTTGGGTATTTTGTGTCACTCTGGGTGGTTTTGGGGTGAATTTGGGGTGATTTTGTGTCACTCTGGATGGTTTTGGTGCATTTTTGGGTATTTTGTGTCGCTCTGGGTGGTTTTGGGGCAGTGTCGGGGTGATTTTGGGTGGTTTTGGGGTGATTTTGGCTGGTTTTGGGGTGATTTTGGCTGGTTTTGGGGTGATTTTGGCTGGTTTTGGGGTGATTTTGGCTGGTTTTGGGGTGATTTTGGCTGGTTTTGGGGTGATTTTGGCTGGTTTTGGGGTGATTTTGGCTGGTTTTGGGGTGATTTTGGCTGGTTTTGGGGTGATTTTGGCTGGTTTTGGGGTGATTTTGGCTGGTTTTGGGGTGATTTTGGCTGGTTTTGGGGTGATTTTGGCTGGTTTTGGGGTGATTTTGGCTGGTTTTGGGGTGATTTTGGCTGGTTTTGGGGTGATTTTGTGCCACTCTGGGTGGTTTTGGGGCAGTTTTGGGTGGTTTTGGGTGAATCTGGGGTGTTTTGTGTCATTCTGGGTGGTTTTGGGGCAGTTTTGGGTGGGTTTTGGGTGAATCTGGGGTGTTGTGTGTCCCTGTGGTGCCCTGGCGCTCCCCGGCCGTGCCCAGCTGTGCATGAGCAAGCGCTACGACGGCTCCCAGAAGTCGCTGGACCTCAAGAGCCTCCGCGTGGACCCCGGTGAGTGGGGGGCTCTGGGGGGTCCCGGGGGGTCCCGGGGGCTCGGGGGCTCAGCCCTGACCCCGTGCCCCCTCCCCGTGCCCCCCTGGCAGACCTGGTGGCGCAGAGCATCGAGGTGGTGCTGAGCCAGCGCGGCTCCATGGGGGCAGTGCTGAGGATCATCGAGGAGAACATCCCCGAGGTGGGACCCCAGACCCACCCGGGACCCCAGACCCACCCCGGACACCCACTGGGACCCCCCCCTGGGACCCCAGACCCCCCCCTGGGACCCCAGACCCACCTGGGACCACCCTGGGACCCCAGACCCATCCTGGGACCCCAGACCTGCCCTGGGACCCTCCTCAGGACCCCAGACCCATCCGGGACCCCCCTGGGATCCTCCCTGGGACCCCAGACCTGCTTTGGGACCGCCCTCAGGACCTCAGACCCACCCCTGGGACCCCAGACCCACCCTGGGACCCCCCTCGGGACCCCAGACCCACCCTGGGACCCCAGACCTACCCTGGGACCCCAGACCCATCCGTACACCTCCCTGGGATTCCAAAACACCTCCCTGGGAACCAAAAACAGCCTGGGACCCCAAAACATCTCTGGGATCTCCCCCCCAGGACCCCAAACCCCCCCGAGAACCCAAAACCCACCCCGGGACCCCAAAAACAGCCTGGGACCCCTGCTGGGACCCCAAAAACCACCCTGGGAACCCCTGGGACCCCAAAAACCACCCCGGGACCCCAAAAACAGCCTGGGACCCCTGCTGGGACCCCAAAAACCACCCTGGGAACCCCTGGGACCCCAAAAACCACCCCGGGACCCCAAAAACAGCCTGGGACCCCTGCTGGGACCCCAAAAACCACCCTGGGAACCCCTGGGACCCCAAAAACCACCCCGGGACCCCAAAAACAGCCTGGGACCCCTGCTGGGACCCCAAAAACCACCCTGGGAACCCCTGGGACCCCAAAAACCACCCCGGGACCCCAAAAACAGCCTGGGACCCCCTGGGATCCCAAAACATCCCTTGGGACCCCCCCCCGGGACCCCGAAAACCCCACCCTGAGAACACCCTGGGACCCCAAAAACAGCCCGGGACCCCTCCTGGGACCCCTCTGGGATCCCAAAAACCACCCTGGGACACCAAAACATCCCCTGGGGCACCTCCCCGGGACCCCAAAAACCTCCTTGGCATCCCAAAACCCACCCTAGGACCCCCCCTGGGAACCCTAAAACCTCCCTGGGAACCCCAAATCCCACCCTGGGACCCTCTGGGACCTTAAATCCCTGCCTGAGCCCCCCCAGCTGTGCCAGCTGTGCCCTGTGCTGGGTGCCAGCTGTGCCAGGTGTACTCAGCTGTGCCCCCCTGTGCCCCCCTGTGACCCCCCCCG